GCTTTTTAACTTTGATGACGTCATTGAAGCGATCAGGGAATTTCAGGGAGGGGAGGGGGGGGGGTTCTTCACTGTCATGACATGTCAGCTACATTAAAAGTATAGCTGCAAATTAAAAGCAGCAATAGATGTAAAAAAACACACATAGACGATACATCTGTGATTAGTTCCCTAATTTAATTTTAATTTTATTTTTTTATAGTGGTAAAACTACAGGGTAAAGCTACAGAACATCACATTTGGAGACGTTCAGTGTATCATTCAATGATGCTACATCAAGATGGACGTGTTTGCTTGCACTCTGCTCTTCAAACTGCAACCACCCTGCTTGTAATGGACAAAAATAAACAAACAAGTCTTTTTGAACAACTCTTTTTTTGTATGTGGTGGGAATCTCCAGGCACCTCACAATTTCGTTCCATTTGATTCAAAGAGGTACGATTTGATGATTAGGCCATTATTGACGCTTCACAATACAACAACATTTTTGACTACTTGATACATAGCAAACTGTATTTATAGTGATCTATAAAAAAAATTTAACAGATGAATTTACTTGCCTACCATCTGGCTCTTGTACAGGTCCCTTTTCCCTTAGCCTTATACCCAAAATATTTCCATACCTGAGCTGTTAAACCAGTGAAAGTGTATTCTTCTGCAGCTGCACAAACTAACCTTTTGTGGGATTCTGTGTAATGCAATAGTTCAGAGGAAATAGGATCCAGTAACTACTACTATTAACAGTAAATGGTCCACAGCCTTTATATTTTATGGAATTAGTCTCTTTTGTTTATGTTAAGGCTGATGCGCTCTGTTCATGTTTGTCTCTGGGTGATGGCCGAGGAAAGTATTGACATTATACTTCATGTTCGCCTCGCAGATGTAATTATTTCGACATTAAATAAAAAGATGCTTGCAACCTCTGTGTTTTGTGAAGATGAATTACAAGTTAACTCAAGCGTGCCCAAGCTGTAGACTGTCTGGGTGCTGCACTGCTCACTCGAGTTCTGCCTCTTTTGTTCCGTCAACATCAAATTATTAACAAACATTTAGATAATTTATTAGTGACATTTGTAAACTGATGCCAAATTGCTTACGTCCGCACTGTGATGCATCTAAGAAATGAATGTCTACCCCGCCCCTAGTGTCCGGTATGTACCAGATCTGTCTGTCAAACAGCCGAGTGCTCATGAATCCCCAACTTTTCTCACCTGCCCACTCGCTTTTATGATAGGGTATTGCTCACACTACCTGCTATGATGAGTCAATGAGAACTGACTGAATAGGACTCGAGTACAGACAGCCTGACAGCTACACTGACTGAATGAACCAGAATTAACCATTTTCTCAGAGTGGAAAGCAATTCAGCAACGGCACTGAAAGAACAAGCTAAGACCGATTAACTTGGACTCAAGTCAAGGGCGATGGTGAATTCACATGTTCCTTGGATGGTCGTTCTTTACGTCAGTGTGTTCATGAGCTTTAAGTTGTAATGTGGAACCAACATGGACGCTACAAAGAAGATGTACGTTGTTTTTCATTGCTTAGAGCGTTTATACAACATGTTGATAACGAAAAGCAAAGGACTCGGATCAAGTGCGCCATTAAATGTGATCGGCACTAATTTTTCAGATTATTCCAACACCACATGAAAGCAGCACAAAGCTGCAGAGGTAACTTTCCCCTCAAAGAACAACAGATCGTTGGTCAGTGACATTTCTGTAACATCGTATTGAGCTTACAGTCAAGCCTACCTGCATACAAGCAGGATGCTAAATCGCTGCATTCAAATGAATAATTCATCTTTATAAATGGAAACTTAAACATGATGACTGGTAATGCATTAAAGAGAAGTTTTGTGGGGTGGGCAGCACTAGCTGGCCAACGTGCATACTATAATGGAGCATCACAGATAAACTGATGCCATATTTTACAACAAGTATTAAAACCTGAGGTGTTTGATACATTTCCATGAATCAACTCGAAGAACTGATACTGTGAGAAGAATCACTCCACCCATCACTACATCCTGCTGCATCATACATGACTTCCTCTGACACTGTCCTGACACTAATCATCAACCTACCAATGCTTTCGTTGCCGTTGCAGGAGGAGAAATGCAGGTCTGTCCTTCCCTTGTCATCTGCTGCACAGGGGTCGATGTCGTCTTGCAGGAGCTTTCGAACTGGAAGAACAAAATTTTATTAGCAAAACACACATCCTTCCCTTACACCACCTGCGAGGCATGTTGCTGCATCACCTCTCTGTTCGTACCTGTGTCGATGTCATTGCTGTTTGCTGCTTCCCTCAGTCTCTTCACAGCTGTGGAGATAAGACATTCAAAGTGACAAGTATGTAAACATTGTTTTGTGACTGGATGAACGGGGTCAGATTGTAGAGCAGCAAACAATGGCTTCATTCACTGGCTTTACACTTTCAGAAGGGTGTTGTTTGATGAGCCACTGATATCACAACTGTACATACAGTATCCTGTTCATCGGTGGAGCACAGGATTGTATTTATTTCAACATTTATTTATTCTTTTAATTGTTTCTCTATTTATTTATTTAAGCATTTCTTTTTTCTGTATTTTATCTATTTGAGATTTTTTTCTGTTTTTATTTATTCATGCATTTAATTTGATATTTATTTCACCATTTATTTATTCTTTTACTTGTTTCTCTATTTATTTTTTATTTGTTTTAAAAAAAGACTTCTGTGTTTTATCAATGTATGCATTTATTTCAGCATTAAGTTATTCTTTTAAATGTTTTGGGATTATTTATTTTAGGGGTTTTTTGCTTTTTCAATTTTTCCATTTATGCATTTATCTCAGCATTTATTTAATCTTGTAATTATTTGTGAAGTTATTCATTTTTTTTTTTTTAGAAATCATTCTTTCTGTTTTTTATTTTTTATGCATTTAGTTTAACTTATTTCATCATTTATTCTTTTTATCATTTCTGTATGCATTTAAGCATTTATTTATTTATGTATTTTATTTATTCCAGCATTTTTTTATTCTTTTAATTATTTCAGAATTTTTGTTTCCTTATTTATTTAGTTATTTTCATATTTATATATAATTATTCCTGTATTTATTGATGTGTTTTTTATTTATGTCATTATTTCTCCATATACCCAGTCTAGCTTTCATATTAAATGAAATTATAATTAAAATAAATAAAAATTGCAGGTTTTTGTCTTGTTTTGAAGTGTAGACCTTTATTGTTGTTATTACTGAAAAACCTAATAAAAATCATTGAAAGAAAACACATCAGTGATGAGACACCAAGTCTAAATATTTACATACACATCATCTTTAGCTTTAGTTTTTTCACGCACATATATTCTTAATCATCAGATAATTTAACCGTCTCTCACCATAGATATCTTTCCCCAGAGGACCGAGGTTCCGCAGGGCTCTGTGGTGCCTCCTGGTCCTGCTCCCCATCACCTTCCCCGTCTTACTGGTCACCCCACCGGCTCCCAGCTCGGCTCGTCCCGGCTCCCACAGCAGGTGCAGGTACCTGAGCTCTTTATCGTCTCTCTGTCCGACCCGACCTAACACCACCTTACCCTCCCCGGTCCCACTGATCCCGAACCCGACAGCAGCGGTCCCCCCGGGGTCCATCCTCTCCATGTTGCCCCGCTGCTCTCTGTCCGCCGCCTCCCGGGGCTCATCCTCGGCTCCGGGCTCCACCATGTACTCCCCCTCGGAGCTGGAGCGCTCATTGTCCGAGGCTGTAGCGACGATTGGACTCCACCCGTCCATACTTCACCGTGACATATGGAGGCTGTTTATACTGCGGTGCTACTGCCGAGGCGACAAGGAAATACACATATCTTTAATGTCGCTCAGCTCTGAATGTGACGTGTGAGCAGTCAGCGACATCATGGCGACGTTACACTGCACGTACACTCACAAACTCCCACGTTAAAGTCTCTCCATCCCGGTTAACGTGTTTTATTTTACCCGCACAAGAAGCCTCCTTCCTTTACAACACCAAAATGTCTCCTGTTTAACGTTACTGTGTCAATGTAGTAAAGTACACACTCATTGTACAGTCAGGACACTGGCGACCAATCAGATTCAGTGTTGTTCATTCGCTCCTGTCCAATAGGATCAACGCAACCGGGCAGCCAATCAGACAGCCCTTGAGCTGGACTGATGATTAATTTGCGCATGCGCACCTTGGTAAAATCTGAATACTACACAGAGCACGTTTATTTGAATTAAAAACAGGTTGTATTCCCTCTTGTTTCATCAAGTTACATCATGTAAAATGTCTATATGCACAATAATGATTAGATTTTTAGATTTACACGATATGTAAAAGGCATATTATTATGTATATAAATATTTATGGAGGAATAACAATAAGGGGGAGCAGCCAAGAGACAAGGTGCTGCTCAAGTGATAAAAAAAAAAGTTTGTGTTGTTTTGTGTCTATTTATGTAATTTTTCTAATCAATGGGTTTGGCTATATAAGTTCTAAAAAATAAAATAAAATAGGTCGTTATTATGGGTGTTGGAAGCAGCAGATCTGAGAGACCTAAGCTGTAACATAAGCATGGCAATGTTTTCTGGCCGGACAAATGATTGGTTCACGTATGCACACTGTGAAAAAGCAATAATGGTCCAAAAACACTTTTATTTGAATTAAAAAACAGTCTGTAATCAGGTAACATCATGTATAATGTATATATGCATAATCATTCTGTAACACCCACCCTCCGTCTATATATATTCATATAATGTTGATTTCCATGATATGAAAATGTTATATTCTGATTTATATGTAAATATTTTGTGAGGAATATCAATAAAGGAGCATTCCAGAGATAAGGTGCCTCTCCAGTGATATGCAGTGGGGGCTGGGTTCCCAAAAAGTTGCATGATGATGCAGCCTGAGGGGTTGTGATATATCTTTCCTCTAATCTTTGCTTTTTGACTTGTGAATTATTGGATAATTTTGCATCATTTGCCCCTTAAAGCATGATCAAAATAAAGAAGGAAAGTCACTCTTTGGTTGAAACAGTCAAGTGTGAGACATTTACATCAGGTGAGGAGAGTTTGTAGGTAGAAACTGACGTAATTTAAAGGAGCAGTGTGTAAGATTTAGGAAGATTTGGTGGCATCTAGTGGTGAGGATTTCACATCACAACCAGCTGACACTTCTCCTGAATTGAATTCCTTCAGTGTTCATTGTTCAATGTCCCTATCTAAAGCCAGTGTTTGGTTTTCTGGGCTACTGTAGAAACATGGCGGTGCAACATGGCAATCTCTGTGGACAAGGACCTGCTCCCTATGTAGACATAAAAGGCTCTTTTTAAGATAACTAAAAGAAAATCTCATTTTCAGGTGAGACTACAGAAAACACACTTATTATATCATATTAAATTCAATTTCTGCCAGTACATCCCCACTAAATCCTACACACTGGACCTTTAAGGGGTCACATGCCATAAACGTGGTGAACCACTGATCTGTAGGATGATATTCTGTCAAAATATTTGGTCTCATGGAGGAAGTTATCATGGGTGCTGGAGGTAGCAAGTCTGAGGGACCTTAACAGCATGGTAGACAGAGCTTTATCACGCTCGAGTTAAACAATCAGAAGTCAAGTTTCAGTCCTGAAGACACGGAGGCTCCAGCTTGTGCCAGGTATTTGGGGAATGCGGGGTCGGCCCCTGATGTGTCCGCATCCTGCTCGACAGGCATCAGTCCAGTGTCATGATCGCGCTGCCACAGCTGCATGTTGTGAGCGACACCCTGATGCTTCAAGTACCCTTGCTGACAAAACAGCGGCGGCTTTCGGTGGGTGAGGGATGAGCGGAAACATGATTCTGAAAGACATGAGAAAACACAGGAACCAGTCAAACGCCTAATCTGATGTACAATCAGGGATAAATGCTGCTGGTCTGCTCTCTGTAGCGCAGGATTTATACTTGTGCGTCGGCTCTATGCAGAGCCTACACACACAGGTATAAATCCTGCATAAGCTACAAACCAAATATATTTAAACATCTTGATTTATATTAATCAGTAATGTTAAGCAGTTACCTACACAGATCAGTGTTAAATTAGTATTTCAAGAATAATGTTTGCAGCTTTACCCGCATAGAAGGCCCTGAGGTCAGTTTGGACACAGTGCTCGAGGAAGCGCCGCAGTGGCTGGATATGAGATATGGGACCCTCCCACTCTGTGAGGAAGTCCTCCACCATGTGATGGATTGCTTTGGGCCTCGGTAAAGGCCAGCCTTGGGGACGGAGCTTCATTTCTTCCTCTGGGGGAAAAAAAAAAAAATCTTTAACATTCACTCACAGTTTGTTCCCTGTCAAACTACAGTAATTCTTCTCCTCATAATAAATGTTTTAATGTGTTTGTCCTCACCAGTAGGAAGTGTGTCATAGTAGTATAAAACAGGATGCAAAAAGTTGGATTGCCAAGCTTTGGTCCAGTCTGTCTCCGCCCTGCCCCGCCCCAGATAGTCTATCTTCTTCTTCCCGTACTGCATGATGAGAACTATCAGTCCGTGGTGGGTGACCTCATGACCCGACAGAGAGGTGAACTGAGGCAACGCCTGGAGAGTAAACTCTTCCACATATTCACAGTGAGAGCTGAGAGTCATGGAGAGAGGAAAGGACCAACATATGATGAGCATGAAAGTGATTAACTGTACATTTGTGTATTGTGAAACAGTCAGGTGATGTAATGTCTTGGCATCCAGACAGTTAAGGTGGTCTGGGCATTAATACCTCCTGACCTGCTGATGTTAAAATAACATCCACTTACCCTCGAAGAAGTATAACGTCCCCCAGCACCTCAAACATTTGGTATGGCCCAGAGGCCTCACCGACCCGCTTCAGGATCCAGGACTGGAGCTGCGTTGTCAACAGTTTTGTGGATGGCCAGGGGTTGCTGTGGTAACGCTGTTCAAGCACACGATGTACAGCTCGCGCTGTGGCAG